AGACTCACATCCAGAGCCGACAAAAAAAGCCAATCAGCGGCTAGTCACAGCCGCAGGAAACTCGCCATTAACCAATCAGCGGCAAGTAGCAGCTGTAAGAAGCTCGCCGTTAACCAATCAACGCCGTCTCTCAGCTGTAAGAAGCTCGCTATTAGCCAATCAACGCCGTCTCTCAGCAGTAAACAGCTCGTCATTAGCCGACCAGCGCCGAGTTAGCGTTGGAGAACTTGACGTAGACTCTCAGCTGGTCCGCCTCACCCACGTCCCCCGTCGTCCAGTTGGTTATGTTGTCTCCTTTGGCGTACAGGAACCTTGGGTAGCTGCCTCCTCCCCCCCCTCCTCCTCCTCCACCTCCTCCTCCTCCTCCATCGCTCCTCTCCCACTCGCAGTTCGGGTGAGGCTGATCCACAGTCACCAACCAGCCTTCATCAACATCGCAGCCGCCGTAAATGCTGTTGAGGAAAAAATGTCTGTAGTTCACCGCGTCACCGACGATGCTGAAGAAATTCTTTGCCTCCGTTTTCAAATCCGACCAACTGGAGCGGAGGACTCGGTCGGGAGACAGCCAGTTGACGAAGTTGGAGCCCCTGCCATCCAGCACGACAAACTTGACGTCCCAGCCCCCTGAGTACAGCACCAGGGCCACCTCTTCGATGTTGAGCCAGTGGTCGAGAACCTCTCCGAATCTCGCGTGAATGTTGCAGTCCAGAGTAGGGTTACTCTACACACGGGGAGAAAAAGAAAGTAAAAAAAAAGAAAGTAAAAAAAAAGAAAAAGAAAAGATGAACGACCGTGAGCCAAGGCTAAGGTCATGAAATAATCCTAGAGCAATGGTGAAGTAATGAAACGATCTTGGGCAATCAATGTCAGAGCCATGAAAAAATGTGACGCAGCGTGGTGGAATCAGGCTCTCGTCAAAATAATAAAAGTCGAGAAACTGGCATTTTCCCCCAGGTTTGTGAGCTTTTATCGAAATTTTGGCTTCTGGCTCAACACCTTTCATGCACATTAAAGAACTCATTTCTGCGTGGATTTTTCATAAACACATTGGTTAAAGGCACAAAATGATATAAATTTTCAGTTACCACTGACGCTTAAGCTCAGGAAATAACAAACTTTAGGCGGCCATTTTCTCATGAATATTACCTCTGAAAACAGGTGACCTCCATCTCCTTCTTTTGCATATATCTCGACTTGTATTCAAGATAAATGGATATTGTTTTCATCCACATAAAGACATGTAAACAAGCTTTAAGATGATACCAATAACTCTACATCCCAACAAATTGACGAGAGGCTGATTCCACCACGTCATGACACAAATGTCGGGGGCATTGTCAAGGTCAAAAAACTATCACGGGGCAATGTCAAGGTCACGAAACAGTCCTGGAGCAAGGTTAAAGTCATGAAACAATCTTGGAGCAAGGTTAAAGTCATGAAACAATCCTGGAGCAAGGTTAAAGTCATGAAACAATCCTGGAGCAAGGAAAAAGTCATGAAACAATCCTGGAGCAAGGTTAAAGTCATGAAACAATCCTGGAGCAAGGAAAAAGTCATGAAACAATCCTGGAGCAAGGTTAAAGTCATGAAACAATC